AAAAAAAAAAAAAAAAAAAGAAGCTAAAAAATCATATCTTCTCCTTTAATGGACATTTACATACAAACATTGAGAGACACATATATATATATATATATATTATAGATAGAGTGAGCTCCTTTAATGGACATATGTATCAAATATCGGGACATACATGTGTGTAAGCACGTATATATATACATATATGTACAAAATACCAAAGTAATAAGTATGAAAAGTTTTAATTCTAACATATAAACAATAATCTTTTTCAACTAAGCTCAATTTTATTTAAAACAAATAATAATAATTTCGATTTAATTAATAGCTTTAAATTGTCTCTTTAAAACAATCTACAATACATATATGCATATACATATGTATGTATATGCACATACGTAAGTAAAATAAGTAATGTAAGTAAGTAAGTAAGTAAGTAAGTAAGTAAACAAGTTCATTAAATCGTATTCATTCCTTTTCGGTTGTGCATAACCCTTTATCCCAAAAAGCCAAACGATTCGAGAATCCTCCGTCCATCCACCCACGGTGCTCTCACTCCCAGTGTGGGCAGTTTCCTGTACGTCGGTCACGTATTCCTTTTTTTCAGCCTACACACATCCGTGCGCTCGCGCGCATGCGCACAAACGAACGAGCTCCGAACGAAAGGGGGAGAAGGAAGGAAGAGGAGGAGGAGGAGGAGGAGAAGATGAGGAATGAGGAGGAGGGGGGAAGGGGGTTCGTTCCTCATGTTGGAAACTCACTCTTTACACGACACATACACACACACACACACACACACACACACACACAACCTACGATGTCCTTCGTCCCTTTTCCAATACGTATACACGCATACATATCAGTACTTATTTAGAGTCCTACCGTGAGGATGGTCTCTACGTGGACGTGTATGTGTGTTGTGTATATATATGTAGATGGAGACGTAGAGTCGATACGCTGGTACGTGTCGAGAGTTTGCTCGTACGTTTATATACACAGCTACTACCTCTTCGACTGTGCGTACATGTGATAAACGTGACGTCACGTAGCCGCGTGATCGTGCGAGATAGAGTGGGGGGAGAGCCCATTCATAACCCGAGCAAGGACAGCCTTAAGGCCGCCTTGGACGATACGTTACTTCGATTAGTAACAAACCAACATTTTCTTTCTCTTTCTCTCTCTTTCTCTTTCTTTCTTTCTTATTTACTTTCTATACAGCGTATTCCAAATATTTTACGAATCTGTGAATATGCGGTAAATGGCTAAAGAAAATAATTTACGATAAAAGTGAAATAACAATTTTACTCTACAGTTGTTACTAATACCGATCAATAGTAAATAATACAAGGTTACAATTTTGAAAATAATATTATATCATTTTTAGAAATCTTTTGATATTGAATATAACTATTTCTTATCTATTCGTCAAAATGGCGAAAAAAATTAGCGCGGAAATTTAGAAAGAAACAAATGTAATAAACGTTATTAATTTCTTCTCAATAAGCTGTTGTAACAATGTTAAATAAATGAAATGAAATATTACAAACATTAGAAAGTCTAAATATTTACTAATTTAAATGAAAACTTTATTTTTCAAGATGGCTGCAAATAAAACGCGTGAATTTATTAGCTACAGAAATAATTCAATTCAAATAAATTTCAAATTACATTTCTTTTTCTTGTTCTTTTTTTTTTTGTTTTGTTTTATATAAATGAAACATAAAAGAAATAAAATATTCTTTGTAACCTTGATACATTTATATGTGTCCTAAACCGATATATACAAAGTTAAAGCCTATTTCTCTTTCTCTTTCTCTCTTGTTCTCGCGCATGGCGATGAATGCGCAATTAAGACACCCTGTAGAAACTACGAGGCGTGCCCACGGATGTACCGCACGGCTGATAGCACGATGGATCACGGCTACAAGCACCGTGTGCGACCAATGAGCCGTATCCTGCTAAACTGTTAAGAAGGAAGTGGTTCGTTGCTGCTCTCTCTCTCTCTCTCTCTCTCTCTCTCTCTTTCTCTCTCTATATACCATCCTGCTCTTGCTACTCTCTCTCTTTCTCTCTTCCTCGTGCACTCGTCGTCGTCGTCGTCGTCGTCTCCTGCCTTGAGCGACTACGAACACGCGTTCGTTTGCAATGCGTGTGTATGACTACTAGCCCTGCCTGCTTTCCTTCCCTCTTTATTTTTCTTTCTTTCTTTCTTTCTTTCTCCCTCCCTCCTTCCGACTCTCACACTCTTCCTTATTCTACTCTTACTCTTACTCTTACATCCATCTACTACTACTACTACTACTGTACTTTATTATATCCTTTTCTCGACCATTTCGTAACACATCGACCGCTTACGAGACACTACGTTTTTGCGGTTATAAAATTTTGCAAAAAGAATCGATTCCCAACTTATACTGTTTAAAGAAACAGGTTGTCTCTTTTTTCCCCTATCTCTATCTCTATGTATTTAACCATGTATATATGATACAATTTAAAAGATACCTTTAATACAATTGTTTACGGTCCATTGCTTGCGTCCTTTTTTTTTTTTATTTAAATTTCATCGAATGTTTTTTTTTTTTAAATAATTCCCGCCAGAATTATAAATCCATATTTACGATATTTGAAATGATCAATCAGATTTTTAGTACAACAATATTTAACTCGTTTTCTAGAATTTTTCATTAATTGTTTCAACACATTCTTCTAAATAATAATAAAATATTAAATGAACTAATTTAAAACGTTATAACGCGCGACAAACTCCAATCGTCTTTAGTGACTAGCCACGACATCTAGCGAATAAATTCCGTTGAAAAAAAAAAACATCACACGCGGCGACATCTAGCTTATTTTTGTAGACATATAAAAATTGATAAACCGATAGATAAAGCATAGATACTGTAGAGAGCCCATTTGGATAGATTTTGAAATTATTATTAATAACACTTACCGGAATTTTACTGCTTCGAAGGAAATCTAACAATGCTTCTAATGCACCCAAAGTTGATGCTTGGACATATACACCTCGTTCAGCAAGTCGTATATTTCCAAGAGCACTGCTAAGTTCCTTGGCTATTTCTTCTTTCAAGATATCAACTTCATCCGGCTTTTGAGCGATTTGAAGATTCAATCCTACAATAAAATGTATCAAACAACAAATTGAAATTTGAAATTCATTTCTTTCATTCTATAATACATTAATTATAATAATTAATATTTCAATTACACATACCAGCAATAGCTTTTTCTAAATCTTTTGCTGCTATTTTAACACCTTGTGCAGCCTTGACTTCTCGATACTCGATATATGCATTCTAATGAATACAAAAATAAATTCATTTAAAATGACTGTACTAATTGGATAATTAATTAAACAACATACCTTAACTCTTAATTCTTTTAATGGTTGAGGCATAAGAAGTGATCTTATTTGTGTTACGATGGGTCCATCAGTTCCTGCAACTATCATCGTATCACCTTCTTTCAACATACCATTAACAAGAATGCAGTCTATCGTAGTTCCTAAACCAGGTAGTGCTTTAACTTCTAATACAGTAGCTTGAAGTTCTTCGCTATACATAAGTCTTTTAGCTAACGGGCCCTGGGAAGCATCGACTATTAATGCTAATAAATTTCCCATACCTTCGCCTAAATAATACAAAGAAAAAAAACAATCATTCTATTATGTACAACATTTGTTCTCTTTCATATTAACGTTCATTAAATTGCAAGTATACATAATATATAATACAATTGATTGTTATCAAACTTACCTGTTATGGCACTGGTAGGGACTAAAGATACATAACTGCGTGGATCAGGATTTTCATAAAACAAAGCTGCATTTAAACTTTGTTCAGCAAATTGAACGATTACCTCTTTCGAACGTTTCTCAAATTCTCGTTGTGTATTGATAGCTTGACTTTTTATAATATCTTGTACATCTTTACGATTCATCGTTTGCCAATCATATAGCCTATTTTACAAAAAACAAATGAACAAAAATATATGAAATATAATATCAAATTATAATTTAAAATTGTCCAATCAATTATATTTTAAAGTTACCTGTCAATCTTATTAAGAGCTACAACAAACGGACATTTCTTAACTTTTAATAGATTAATACTTTCGATAGTTTGTGGTTCCAAACCATGCATTATATCAACAACTAAAATTGCGATATCGCAAAGAGAGGATCCTCGACTTCTAAGATTACTGAAAGATTCGTGTCCAGGTGTGTCTATTATCAAAAGTCCGGGTATCTTAAATACTTTATCAGCAAACTGTTAAAAACAAACAATCAATATCCTCGTCAGTTACAAAATAATAATAACATTAATAATAAAAGTATCTCGTAAAAAATTTGATGTTTTAACCAAATACTTACACCTTTAACATGTTTCGTTGATTCTTGTATCGCTTCAATTGGTACATTGGTTGCACCAATCTGTTGAGTGATACCACCAGCTTCGCCATCCTGTACGTTAGTTCTTCTCAATTTATCAAGAATCTTTGTTTTGCCAGTATCTACATGGCCTAAAACACAAACTACAGCTGCTCTCAGATTATCCAACGATTTCTTCTTTTCAGCTTCGAGACGTCGATTTTTAATGCGTTCCTGCGCACGTTCCTTTTTCCGAGCAGCATCCGGTACTCTATCTTCCAATCCACTATCTTCCTCACTTTCATCCTCCGATTCTGATTCACTTTCGCTCTCACTTTCAGACTCACTTTCAGACGATTCTTTATTTTCTAAGTCTCCTACCAAATGTGATTTGTCTGCATTGGACAAAATCGTTTCCTTTGTTTCTTCAGAAGTTTTCGATGCTTCATCAGATTTATCTATAGAATTATAACAAGTCTTATGAATATTAGAGTAATTAGAATATAGAGTAAAATAATATTAAAACAATAATTACCTTCCTCTTCTTGTTCCTCACCACTACTTTCAGCATCCCAAGAATCTTTGACCTCCTCTTCCTTTTTCTCAGGCACATCTTTCGGTGTTTGATCAATTATTTCAACTTGAACGCGATCCGTGTCCGTTTCAGTATCTTCAGATTTTTTTTCATCTTTCTCCTCAATGCTGGTTTGTTGCTTCATTTTATTTGGCCTTATTCTGGCGCCTAATAAAAAAAAAAAAAAAATTAAAAATAAAATAAATATTGAATGTAATAGTTATGTCAAAATAATTTATTAATTGTTTATTGAAAAATATCATTTTCAACGTACCTGCCCTAGGCTTTTTATCTCCAACATCTGGTAGATCTAAACCTTGAGCTTTGAGAGCGTTAATCATAGCTTGCGCTCTTGCTCTATCCTGTTTTTGTTTCGTAGTTAAAAGTTTTCCTTCCGCTTTCAATCTTTCTTTCCTCTGCTTTTCTTTTAATTTTTTCTTTTCCTTTCGTTCTTTTTCCAATTGAATTTGTTCTAGTCTTGCTTTCTCGCGTAATTCTTCTTGTCTTATTCTTTCCTCTTCTTCTCGTTTTAATCTTTCCTCTTCTTCCTTTAATTTTCTCAAGGCCTCTTGCATTGCTTCAATGGTCTTCTTACCAGGTCCCTTACCTGGCATCATAAATTTAATTATGTAAATGTGAAAATGAATATTTGTTTAAATATAGAAATCATATTTCGAAACATTGTGTAAAGTTGTATAATTGTTAATGAAAAATTACCTTTTTCTTTAGGTTCATCTTTAGCAGCACCTTTCTTCTTTTTCTTCTTTCCTTCTTCGGGTTTCGCTACATCTTCCTCTGGTTCCACAACGGTGGCTGCTTTTTCTTCTACTTCTTGTTTCTCATTCTGCTTTTCTTTAGCTGGTTTTTTTGTTGATTCACTACTTTCAGCCTTCTTAGCAGCCTCCTAAGAAAATATGTTTGATGTTTTTTTTTTTTTATATTATTAAAATTTACTTATATAATACATCTTTGTAATGTATATTCAATTTTCTGATACCCACCGCTTTTTTTAAAGCCAACTTCTTCTGTTTCTCTCGTTCCTTCTTCTCTTTCTTTTTTTGTGCTGCCGTTTTAACAGTACCACCTTCCATTTCATCTTCAGCGGTAACACTTGTGTCATCATTTGCTTGTTCATTATTAATATCATTTTTAATATCTTCCTTTAATTCCTTGTTTTCACCTTTATCCTTCTTCTTATCTTTTTTCGTCTTTTTCTTTTTCTCTTCTGGTTCATCTTTAGTTTCTGAAGTTACTGCACATTCTTTAACACCTTCTTTATTTTCTGACGTGTCTTTAGAAGATTCTTTGACTTCTTTAACTTGTGCTTTTTGACCGGAATATTCTAATTCCAATTCAGCAAGAACTTTTTCAATGTCCTCGTCACTATCATTACGCTTTCTTCTTGCTATTCATATAAACAAATACATTTGTAATTAATTGTAAAACAATATATTATACTATGATTTAAAAATATAAAATGGCGTGAACACGTGGTACATAAAAATCTAAACATTAGCGATAGCATTAAAAATAAATTTCACTCAATGGAATTAGGCATCATGCATTTGTAATCATAAATTATACATGTATGTATGTACATATATTTTCTTGAAACTAGTAATATGTTCCCTATTCTTGACAGATGTATAGTAAAAATGATCATAAAATAAATATCAAATATAAAACAATATTATAATGTTCAATACTTCAACAAATTCCTAATGAACACAATTATTGCATAAAGTTACGTAAATTGTAATATATCGAGACGAAATATTGGTTAGATTAATCACATATGTTATCGATAGAATTGAGGTTAAGCGAAAAGCAGACGACATTTGTTAAGACGATAAATAACCTTCGATTTATGTAATAACAGTTATGTTGATTAATTTAAAAGTTGTTTATATTATAAAATTAAATAATATCAAAATGAATATAAAAATTTGTATTACCTTTCTTCCCTTTTTTCGGCTGAGATTCCTGCATCTTTACTGATTTTTATATGAACTTAATTTCTGTTTTACACAATAAGTATTTTTTTTTCTTTCCGAATGTCGCGATTTAATAAATTTAATTACGTTAAATATCGTCCTTTCTATCATACGGATATTTGTATGTAAATTTTTCCTTTCTCCGATCACGAAAAAAGTAACACACTTGCGATCAAATCATATCATAGATATTCCATATATACAATAACGGTAGATATCAGTCTGAAATTGTTTTGAAATAACCTTAAGTTAGTCAAATATCGTTTGATCACAGCTATCGACATCGATTATAGAATTTTATTATCGAATAATATCGATGTTTTTACAGATTTTCACTGGTTCGTGATTATCCAATCAGATACGTTAAATGCCTTCTTTGTCGCACGTGATTGGCTTACCACTCTTAATTTTTATTTTACTCACATTTCTCATTTTAAAATATCATTTTCTAATAAATATACAATATTTCTTATAAAAATACATACATAAATTAATTCTTATTATAATAAACATTAATCACAATAAATAATTGAATATTTATCGAAACAACATCTGCCATTGGCACGTTCCATTGATGATAACCAATCAACTCGCAGTACACGTGCAAATGTCATCGAAGCCAACCAATCAACATTGTCGAATTGTTGTTGTTCGCAACGCCTATATTTTTTGATTTATGAAAACTAGTACACGTTAAAATATGAAATAAAAATTCTTCTCGTAAAAGATTATTTAATATTATGTTTACATTGTTATAAGAAGAGTATCAAATGTAAACTAACATGATTATCAGAATAAAATATCAAAAAATAAGCTGACAGAAAATAGATAGTGAGAAAATAAAATATAGTAAAACCAAATGTAATCTATTTGATGTTATCACTAATTCTGTGATAAGAATTTGCGATTTAATTAATAAGAAGATTAATACAATCTATAAATTAAGTCGATTATTTCTTTTATTTTTTTAATGACGTATATATTTGAAAAAAAAAATGTACATTAGAAAATCATTTTTATAATTCTAAATCTGTTAATTATGTAATTTCGTATTTGTAATTCCTAATCAATGCTGTCATAATTTTATCAAATATAAGTAAAGTATATTATTACATTAAAATTACATTTTTTTACGTTGCAATAAAATGTAAATAATATTAATACAAATTAAATTGTACAATCTAAATTTTATCTCTCAATTATTTTCAAAAAAATCAAATAATTTGAAGCTTATTTTGGGTGTCGTGTTTTAAAGTAGCATTAAGTGAAGGAATTTTGTTAATTGTTTTATAGATTATAACTTGTTACTGAATCATACAACAATAAAATAACAAAGAATAAAAAAAAAAAAAATCAAGTTTATCCTATTCACAAGATTCTGAAATTGATTAAAATGAATAAACTTGTTTTCAAATTTTCTTTATGCCAATCGTGTTGTTTATTTAATTATTTTTTATTTTATTTTATTTTTTTTTTTGAAAGTTTCTTAATTCGATGCCTTATACAAAATATCACCGTGCGTATTTTTATTTACAAGTTTGAGAAAAATTCAATGTTTTTTAAATACTTTGAACTTCTCCGTCATTTATACACGTACACACATGCATATATTTATGAATATACAGATAATTCTTTAATATAATACGGTTATTAATTAAAAAAAAAAACAAATATTTAACAATTCACAAATAAAATGAATTAATACAATACAATATAATAATATATAAAAATAATGAAACCCTATTTTGACGATGATTACTCCTAATTCAGACCAAAACCATTTTATTAGAAATACCATTTTATACGGGGAATTATCTGTATTTCTTTACTCTCTATATTTATATATATGCATATGCATGAAGTAATTGCTAAGTAAAAATAAACTTTCTAAGATATTTGGAATACCGCCCGAAAAAAAGTTCAACGTCATCGCATTTCGCAGCTCAGAATTTTCTGCATTGCTAAGTTGTCGTCACATAGATTGGGTAATAAAATTCGCGGTGGGAGTATTTCGAAGGAGCATTGAAAGACAGGTAAACGCGGACACACGTAATACAACGCAGTGAAAGTATGTTATTACATAGATTACTAGACGAATATATAATAGAATTCGAATCGACGTATAAATGTATCTACAAAGGATAATAACTTACTACGAATTAACATCTCATGTACATGTGTGCATAATAAATCTATAAGTATATAGATTTTTTTCATTTATGGCGGTATTCTAATACAGGGTTTCAGGGTTTCTCAAATTGTTACTGGCTATCTTGTATGGGGTCGCCAAAATTTCAACATAACTAACAAAATTCTTGGAAGCGAAGCTATTGAAAATTAATGAAAAATCAACTTGGCAACAACACACTTTTAATATATCTACGATTTTATGATAATAAGAGAGAGAAAATAGTATATAATAGTAAAGTTTATACTGTGAGTCGTGAAAATATTAAGCTCAGGTAAAGAGAATTCGCCAAAAATCGAAAAAGTTTGAGAAACCCTGATCTTATTAACAATATTTATATGTTTATGCATATACTTAATATACATAGATAATTAATAATCTAATAAAATTACATATATCGATCTAATTCGTTAGATCTGTCGTCAAAATTTCGTTAGTAATTAATTAACGATTATCTAACTCACCAATTAATAATATTATTAACATTGCATTAAACAGAAGTAGATACACATAATTCGTTGTGTAAATATCTGTTATTTGATATAAATAAAAATATTTATTAGGTCATTAAGTATGAAATATCCGATTTCAAATTGAAAGTCATCGGAGTAATCGAACGTTTCATACTTAATGACCTAATATATATATATATATATATATATTTATAAATATATATCAAAAAAAGAAAAAATTACAATTTTTCAGCGGTTTCGGTAGAACCTTGGTCGTGTTATCAGTCACCCTTTGTCGGATTCTCGATAAAGAAAATAATCGATTTTACTTCATTATTCTTTTTTCATAAGAAAAGATAGTCCCTTCGATACCAGCAGTTAAAATTTCTTGAGAATCTGTTACAAAATTGAAAGATATATATTTTGAATAAAAAAGAAAAAAAAAAAACTTCAGATCATCAATTATGAAATGAACTTTTAATACATACCGATTAGGATCTAAGCCTGATAATCAGGAAACACTTTTCGAAAGATTCTTTTGTGGTTATTTAACATCAAACATTGAAGTTTTAATCGTAAGTACTCAAATCAAGGAGATCTAAAATCGATCGATTCGATTTGACGTTTTTTGTTTCAAATAGAACGAGATATAAAGAATGAGAGAAAAGAGAATACTTGAGAATACGATGTACTGAGTAGAGATCTAATTATTTTTTGCTAAAAATAAAATGTCTAAAAACAACAAAAAAAAAAACAAAAAAAAAACACAAAATTGAGAAGAGAAGAAAAAAAGGAAAGAATATCTAATTTTATAATCGCGAAATAATGTTCAATGAAGAATAATTTCTTGTACATATTATTCCTTAATTACAACGATATTTTTTCCGCTTTTTCTTGTTTCTCAATATCATGTTTACGCCGCCTTTCTTCCTTATCCCTTCTAATAAATTCCGGATCATTCCAATATTGAACCTCTCCGCTAGCATAAAGTACGAAAATTATGTTGGTAACGACAAAGACTCCAAAGACGACCCAAAATACAAGTCTCCACTCGGTCATCAAACCATTTGGTGTAAATGCTCTTACGATATAAGGTGTAATGATACCGGTTAAAGCACCCATTCCATTAACCACAGCCATCAAGGAGCCGGAATAATTTGGACTTAGGTCAAGTCCGTTTACTTTCATGCCAGGATAAAATGTACCTGTTGTAGTAAAGCAAGATAAAGATATTTTTAATTGCATTGTATTTAAATTTACGTAATGAACATTTAACGAGAATAATGTTATGCAAATTGTGACTAGTTAGTTATGAAAATATAATAAATAAATAGGACATACCCATTAGAGTCATTCCGATGGTAAACATAACGACGACAATGGTCCTGTCACATTCCGCATAGGATGCTCCAACGAGAAAAGCACCTGGTCCAATAGAGGCTATAGTAGTACCAAGTTTTCTTACATTTGTACGAGACATAAATCCACTTGTAATCATCTTGTCGGCTAACCAGGAAGATATTAAACTAGAAATCCACATGCACAGATAAGGTAAGGAAGATAAATAACCGTTGTTCTTGATTGAGAACTTCATAACGTTGTTCATGTACGTTGGGAGATCAGTGACCATCGTGAAGAAGCCCCAATCGTGGCCAATTTGGGCAGCTACCAATGCCCAGAATGGTATCGACGAAAACATGTGTCGCCATGGTACCAATGGTGGTTTCTTGTGAGTATGTGCACTCATACGATCATGTAAATATTTCAATTCTCGTTCGGAAATAAATGGATGTTCGTCAGGATTGTTATAACACAATATGGTCCACGCGATGAACCATAGTACACCGACGAATCCAAAAAGATAGAATACGGCAGCCCAACCAATCGAAGAATCTTGAAGAATGACACCAGAAATGGAAGTACCGAAAACTGTACCCAACAAAGCACCAGCGAATACCAACGAGCCTAATTTCGATCTCTCTTCAGGAGGTGTCCATTGAGCTAACATCGAGTTCAAAGCAGGGTACGTCGTACCTTCGCCGAGACCCATCAAAAAACGTAAAATTATAAGAGCCGTTGCTCCACCGAATTCGACTGCGATCGGTGTTAACAGTGTTGTCACTGCGGTCGAAAGGATTCCTAGACCAAGTGAATACTTTCCACCAAATCTTTCAGCCAAAAGACCACCTGGTAGATGAGTTATTATATATCCCCAATAAAATGCAGACAATATTGTGCCCTGAAAACAATAAATTAAGTATTATATTAATGTACAAATTAATCGAGTTAAATACGAATGAAGAATAAGATTTCGATGAAACATTTTATCTGCCAATTGGATACCATTTGCAAACACATATGGTACTAGTAGAAATAGTACAAATATTGAATAAGAGTAAAGAGAAAGAATTTTATTGATATAAATTCTCGATAGGTCAATCGCCTTTGCTCACCTGCTGGCCTTCAGTCCATTCGTAAGTGCCAGATTGTTTCTCTTCGACGATGCGATCTTCTGGGAAAGCAGAACAAGTATTGTCTAACGAGGTTCCGTTTGTCCCATTAATAGGTTTAACCATCTG